CTTCATCCATCGCCTTAGGCTTGTAATTCCAGATCTCAGGAAAGATCATCGCGCTCTGACTTTTATTTTGGAAAAGATACTTTCAAATCTTGCTCTTGAAGACCCAAAAGACCACAGCGGCTTCTAGCTCTGAGTGATGCCTTTAAAGCCACTGAGAGTCATTTCAGGGGTATCCCCTGTGCGGGGTGGGTTGCCAGTCAAGCCCAAGGACTGGAGGCAGTGATAAAAAATGATTAAGTTTGTGGACTAATTGGATATTTTTTTCTTTTAAATTCCCTCTGTTTCCTGCTTCTCTTGTTCAGTTTCCATTTAATAAGTACACCCAGCAAAATCCCTGCTCCGGCCGTTGGAAGGGAGCCACATCTCAATCTGCAGCTGTTCTTTCAGCTGTCCAGATGTGCCCTGAATTCCACATCCTTTTGTTTTCTGTAGGTGGGAGAGGAGACAGTGAGTAAGTTGAGGAATGTATGAACTGGCCCAGATGGTAGCCCCAGACAGGACGTTGCTCAGAGCTTTGATTCCTGCTCTGGACAAAAGGACGTCTCGTCCCAAACCTTGTGAGCCAGGTAGGAACACCCCAGAGATCCTAAGGGGGAAAGGTCTTCTCAGCAGCTTGGCGTCCCTCTTCCTGGTCAGTGCGGCTTCTGCTCATACTCCCATGGAGGTTGGTCTTAACCGCAGTGTTCTTCGGTGGATTCCAAAGGAAGTGAATAGTAGTATTCCACTCCTCTGCTAGGGATATGCTGCCACTGTGACGTAATTCATTCTGTAAGTGAATTTAGCTCTGGAGGATGGTGCCAGATTAACAGCCAGGACACACAGAATCTCTGTCTATAGAACAGATACAGCAAAGAAAACAAGCTTTCCACCCCAGCCCACCCACACACTGGCCCGCTAACGTACCTCCATCTTGACCTGGGAGAGCCTCCTCTATGGATGAGAATTCCGTATCCATGAGCCATTCAGTCCTTGGCCTCGCTGCTGAAGTGCCCAGCGTGGGCGTTAATTTAGTTTCCAATGTGATGGGTTTTTTGTGATGTAGACATCCGTCCCCTAGGGACTGGACTGCGATCATTTCACACAGGCCACCAAACAATTGTCAGGTGGTCTCTGTCAGCCTGAGCTGGATTTATGCTGCTGCTCCGGCAGTGAAATGCTCCTGCATCTCCCGTTACCAATCTCCCTGTGATGCCAAAACGTGAAAAAGAGCCTTTGTCATGGAGAGTATCCTGCCTCTTTCTTTCCTCCTGCTTCTCAGGAGCTGGTGTTTTTCTCTCTCCATCCAGTATGTTCTTACCAGTGATGTTCCAAAGGAATGAATCCCCTTTACCTCTCCCTCCCGCCAAGGACTTGATTGCCCTCAAAGCAAAGAGCCAGCTCCTCCTATGGCATAAATTGGCATCGCTTCATAAAGTAAATGGAGCCTGTTCTGACTTACACTAGATGTGGCTCTGGCCCCGAGAGCTTTTTCTTATAGAACAAAGTTTTTGCGAGTCCTTAGTGGAGTAGCTAAGTGCCGGTGTCCTGAGCTGAACTTTGACACACAGATGACTTCTTAACCAGATGCAGGCCCTAGCTGCAGGAATCATGGGCTAGAATTCTCTGGCCTGGGCTATGTCGGAGGTCAGATGAGATTTGTCATAACGGGTCCCTTCTAGCCTTAAAATCTATGAATTTCGTCTCTGTTCTGCCATTTGTTGAGTCCAGAGATGAGCATCCTGTTGGCTGGCCCGTAGCCGCACACGCCCTGATGCCGAATGCCAAGGAGTGGGTGGGGAGGAGCCTGAGTAGCATCAGGGTAGCAGAATCCACGGTAGATAGAGTGTGGCGCTGTCATGCTGGGAAGAGCGGGTCAAAGGTTTTTCTTGTGCACTGAGAGCCGAGGGGAAGGGGATTTACCTTGTTTAACAGCTTGCTGATGAGGTGAGGACCTATGCTGCAATGATGGCCCATGGTATTTTTAGTTGTTGATGGCTGGGAGCTGTGACCAGCTGCCCCCACAGGGCTACGATTACAGCTCAAAGATAGCAACTTGGAGGAAAAATGCGCCTCTCGGTTTGTACATAGTGTGAAGAGGCAGGATGTGGTGTCAGGTGTTTGTCCCTCCTGCAAGGAATGGCCGCTCTTTGACGCCAATGGACGATGGGGGGAGGGGGGAAGAGGAATCTTTCAATTGATTTTCCTGACCTTTGGATCAGGCCTTTACTGCAGGGATCACATATTCAAGTGCCAATTCAATGTGCTGTCCAGCCCAGAGGGGTGAAGATTCTAGATGCTCAAAACCCACTGGGAGACTAAGTGGCAAACCTCTCCAATGTTCCTCGGTAGCACCGCTCCGCCTGAGCTACACTGCCATCAATCTTCCCCTGGGCGCAGCTGCCCCCAGGGAAAGCCCCAAGGATTTGTCAAGGGCCAGAAGACTGACCACGTTGCCAAAAAAGTCCTTCCCCCAGCCCACCTGCTCTCTGCCCCTTCCACAGGTCTAGGAGCAGAGAGTGGGTGGGAAAAGATCTCTTCAGATTTGCGGGGTGTAGGGGCTGTGGACAATGTTGCAAAGCAATCTGAGCCCTCATTGCAAACCAGTGAGGTGGTGACTCCAGAGATGGGTTGACAGCTCCATGAACGTGTGAGCATTGCTGACTTAGGCGGACAGAGTAGCAAACGTGTGGAGCGATCTTTGATTTGCTTTGCCAGCTAATGAAGATTCTCCTTCAGCTTGTGTTTTATGCCTGAGAGCCTGGGGCGGATACCCCAGTTTCTATCCCTATGGCCACTCCTGTGTGGTTTAGCTGGCAAGGATGATTTGTGACCCACAGGCTTGATACCCTGTAGCAAAGCCGGTTTAATTTGCATACTGTAATCCTATTGGATGAGTGTCGTAAATTCTTTGAGTTTTGTATTCTGTTTAAAGTGATGACGTTGGAAACATCTCTCAGCCTGGACGCTGGCGTTGGGTTGGCTGGCTTCTTTATTTTTGTTTTTGTAACACATTAAGAATCCCATTCCCCTGGCTGGGACACGATTTGCACCACGGGAGTGAAATACGACTTTTTAGTTTGGTCCTTCCTAGCAATGAGATTTTCCCCACCCGCACCTTGTGCCTTTGCTCCATCCATGGAACAAATAATCTGTGATGCTCAGCAGAGGTTCGTGTCTATTGCTGTAACTAATGGATGCTGCTGGAACAGCAGATCTGGAGGGTCATGGAATCTGTATAAATGTTTCCCCTTCGCTGATGCTGCTGAGACGTGACCAGGTGACTCATCCCTCTCATGGGTCTCTGGTGACGTCTCAAGGGACACTGAGCCGGATGCTTTCCTGTGAGCCATTTCTACCATAGCAACATCGATTCCACTGTACGTGCATCCAGCAGTTCTGCTTTCCAGTTTCCTCTGGATGACTCAGGACCCACCTCCCTCCACATCCACTTGCCTGCTGCTCTCCACAGGGAACCTCTGTCGCCCCTTGCTGCTATCCATAGATTTTCCCACAGCCTGTTCCCCTTGCTCTCTTCTGCGATGGGATGCAGGTGGAGGATGTACTTGTCTGGAGGCAGCAGGAAGTGAGGGCGTCCTTTCCTAGTAGATATGGGTGGGGAATTTGGAGGTGCAGGAGCAGGATATAATCTGTGGGATATTGGGGTGCAACATGAGCAGTGATAGGTGGGAAATGGGGTGTCCTCCCACGTGGTGCAGGTCTGGGGTGTACCAGTGAGGTGTCTGTTCCTGGAAGAGATGGGGAGGATTGAGGCATCCCATCCCCAGAGGTGCAAGTGTGGGGTGCCCCCTCTACAACAGTGGGGTATATCTAATCCCCATTGTCTCTCTTCCTTTCACTCCTTGTCCTTTCTCTCTCTCGCTCTCCCTTCATTTCGCTGTAGTCTCTTACTCACTTCCTTCTGGTCACACTTCACTGGCTACTGCCAGGACCGGCTGCATGTCAGTAACAGGAAGAAGTATGAAACCTGCTGTTAAGGCCATCAATAACTCTGTCTCAGTGGAGAAGAGAAGGGTGGGAGGGGAGAAGGGAATCTGTAATCTCTTGCCACCTCACTGACATTTTCTTTACAGGCGCTGGAAGGAGAAGCAGCTGCTGGCATTTACCCCCCTGAGGAGCCGTTTCTTGTCTTTAACCCTCTCCTTCCCTTCCAGGCCACTGTTGCTTCTCCGAGTCAAAGCCATGCTGCTGCAAACAGCAGTAGGGTTGGGTACTCTTCAGGATAGCATCCCCTCCTGGAAGGAGATGGGTCCACAGGGAGAGCTTCCCCTATCTAAGGGCCAAAACACAGCATTCTGGGTCCAACCAAAACAGGAAAGAATGGGGCACTCAATGCAAGAGCACCCCCTATTGGTGGGGGAAGCTGAGGATCATTGATTCATAGGAGAAACTAGTGATCCCTAGAGAGTCGGTGTCACTCCTTGGTATGGAAAAGGCATACTATGAGAGAGGTGTATGTGTAACACACTTGACTGGGGGCTCTGTCTGCCTCTAGTGATGGCTGGGCCATAGATAGCAGTTGATAAACCCGCTAACGCCTTGGCTGAAAGTTTTTTAACCCACTTCAATTCCCTGCATTGCTGGGTGGGTTGTCGGTAGTGGGGATTGAACCTGTGACCTCTGGAGCTAAAGGCATGAGCCTCTATTGCAAAAAGAGCCAGCGCTATTCGCCAGGGCTGCAACATGCTCGTCAACCTCTATCTGTAGCCCCACCACTGCTAAAGGGGGACAGTGTCCCACTGAATGGGTTGCAGGTGGTTGAGTGGTTCAGGGAGGGAAGCCCATTTCTCTTTGCTCCTCCTTCGCGTAGCACCAGGGACTATCTCACAGATGTGCAATGGAAGGAGGAAAAGGAACGGGGTGGTTCGGCATGCACGTCTCTCCCCCAGTGAGGCACCATCATGCCACTTCTCCCCTGTAGGAGCTCTGAAGTTCTCCTGCCAGTCCCTGAGGATTCGGGCTGGGGGACGCTGGTCAACCTTTGTGGTTTGTTTTTGTGTCAGGAGGTGAAGATTTTCCGTGCTCTGATCCTGGGGGAGCTGGAGAGGGGCCAAAGCCAGTTCCAGGCGCTCTGCTTTGTCACACGGCTTCACCGCAATGAGATCATCCCCAGCGAGTCCATGGCGAAGCTGCGGCAGGTGAGGGGCAGCCCCACGAGATGGCCTGGTGCCTCCCCCACATGTGATCCCTGGTCTCTTGGGTAGGGTTACCATATTTCAGCAAGCAAAAAAGAGG